ACTTGGCCAAGACACACATAGCTGAAAGATGACCTCCGTGGGTGCAGTTGGCTACAGGTGCCGCCATACGCACAGACAGAAGCACACGAGCGGCTGAGCCCCAAAGTTTTTTTTTTTGCCACTAATTTGTCCCGTTTACAGAACAGCAATGTCACTGAAAGCCACCAAGGACTCACGCCCACCTCCCCACCACACACATCCAAGTCCCAGGCCTTTTCCTGATCTTCCCCACAACAGAGTTCACCACCCCACACCCATCTCATTTCTCCCCAGCACCACAACCTTCCTCCCACCGTGTCCTGTGTTCTGAGGCTGCTCACTCCTGGGACCAATCCCCATGCGACCCCCCCGTCTTCCAGAGCCTGGCAGCTGAGGACCTGGAAAAGCTAAGAAAGGACAATTACTCCCCCCAGGTCCTCGCAGACTATGGCAGGGGAGGCCCGCTCTAGCCTTTGGAACTGATCTGAGAGCAGGCTTCTTACTCTTTTCCCACCCACAACCCCTCAGAGGAGCGTGTAGAGGAAACTCAGATATACCTTTGGCAGGACCCTGGATATGAAAGTATATAGATTGAGTATTCAAATCAAACATTGACTGATATCGAATCAATACAAAATTTATTTTAAAACAATTCTTGGGTGCGCATGTTATTTTTGCCTTTTATTAAAGATGAATGCAAGTTTTTCATGGTAATGAGGCAGGTAGAATTAATTTTAAAATCAAATCACAAGTGAACATTTGACACTGCAGGATATAAGCCAGCTTCAACATTTTTCAGCGTTGAAATATTTTCATTTTAAAGCCATCAGTGCTGAGAATACAGATGTAGCACAAAGCGGCGGAAGTGTGTCTAGGGCTGGGCCACAAATTGTTGGAAGTTCTCTCTTACTCCCAAGTCCAAATTCACTGAACAAAGATTTATAAAGCTCAAGGCAACCACACAAAAAGCAATTTGAAAAACATTCGTTCTAATGTAAAACAACCCAAAGATATACATATTTAGTATTTATAACCTGAGAAATGGCAGAATAAAAATATTATATCCTTTTTCCATAATTAAACCGTATTTTTCTATAAGAGCAGAAAACTTTGTGGATACAGCAGAGACATTATGATTTGCAACAGACACCAGGCTCAAGCCTGAGCCAGGGCAGCTCAGGCAGGCTTGCTTGGTGTTGCACGCTAGCCAGCCCTTGACCCAGCCCACCCCTCCCCATCCTTCTGGCTGCCAGTTCCTGACACTGTCACCCCTTCCTTCTGAAATCTGTTCAACAGAGAATCTGATCCAACTCAGCCAAACGGGACTGTTTAAAGGAATATTCTCAGCTTGTCCTTTTTTGCCATTTGCTAAACCTACAGCCTCAAGTATTCTGTTTGCAGGAAGTGTAATTATGGAACATTCCCACCAAAAAAGAAGAAAGTTTGTCCTTCATCACGAATGGGAACAAGCAGCTCACATCACTTGTGGGCACGGGACATAGGGCTCTCAGACTTCTTAGGGTGACTGCCTCCAAAAATCTAAGCAGTTTTCCTCCCCTCCATTTTAAAATTCCGGCACATCGCCCAAGAACTAACCCTCGCCTCACCCAACAACGGAAGTCAGCGGTGGAGACGATAACTTGATTTGCCAAGATCCCTTTTTTATAATTAAGACCTGCTGCTTTCTGCCTTGAGTTCTGATCTGGAATTTAAGATACCTTGTCCTCCTAGAGCGAGGCCTCCAGAGTGGGTCCCAGAAGGGTGACCGTGGAGAGGTGGCTGAAGTAGACGGCCCGTAGATGTCTAGTTCTGGGAGCCATATTCAGGAAGAGTTCTCCCGAACAGCAGCAGGCCGCAGTGCCAAGTACCACTGAGAGGCTAAAGGACAGGAAACTGACCTCTGGGATTCACAAGGTGGAGCTGCTCAGTGACCTCGACAAGAAGTGGGTTGGTCCCTTGGGTCGACTGGATTCCCCCAAGACAGAGAAGAAAACAATTGGAGGCAGTGGTCACATTGGGCTCTTTGAAGGGTTTGACTATAGAAGGCAGTAAGGAATAGGGTGGGGCCTATAAGGGCAAGACTTTTTTCATATAAAAGTTTTACAGTGTGTTTATTCACTGATGGGGATGACCCAGCAGAGAGAGGGAAACTGAGGACAAAGAACGGAGGAAAGGATGGGAGAGCAAACTTCGCGGGTCCATGAGAAAGAGATTCCAGAGCACACGGAAATGGCTTAGACTAGGAGCTGAAAGGACCTCTGTGGCTTCTGCAGGGGTGGCAAAGGGTGCACATGAGACAGAGGGTTTGGAGACCTGCTGGGAAGATGCACAACATCTTGGAACATTTCATCCTTCTTCACCCGCTGAAGTGAAGTCCTACGTACGTAATCCATTCAACTTCTCCTGGCTACATCTGTTTCCTCTGAGCCTCCCTGTACCAAGAGGAAGTTTAAAACTAAAAACCTCCATAGAGGGAACACAAGAATACCTCCTCCATGGCGTTTTAATGAAGATTAAGTGGGCAAAGGCACACAGCCAATTTTACCATAAGACTAGTTGACAGAGCTTGGAGGAGGCTCATTTGCTGTGCCAATCTGAAGAGCTGGGTTCGAATCTCCAAGGCCCATATAAAAAGCCAGGTGTGACTGCTTTTTTCTTTAACCCCAACATTGGGGGTGGGGGTCAGAGACCCGCAGACTCTGGGGGTTTGCGGTTGAGTCAGCCTGGCTTCAACAGTGCGCTTCCAGTGTCCTGTCCCAAAGAGGAAAGGTTGACAGCAACAGAGGAAACACCTGAAACCCTCCGCTGGCCTTACATGCATGTACCACACACAAACATACATCACAACACACAACAAAGATGTAGTAAATAAACGTCAGTTAGCGGCCTTTGCGCTGTTTCATTGCGGTGCGCAGGGAAATCTATGAGACTCGCCGCCGGTTTTCGTCCTGACCCCGTTCATCTGACCCCTGCCAAAGTTCTCATCCAGCAGCCTCCGCTTCACCATCCACCCCACAATTCTCTCCCACAAAGCCCGCGTGGCCTTTTCTGCTGCCTCCGGCTACCCAGGAAAAGCTTTAGGCTGCGGACCACATCAAGCCTTCTTGGCTTTTCTGCTGGACCCCAGACCAATCCACCCTCCCTTCAATACCATGCAGAGGTCGGGATCTTCCTCCATGCAATTATGGGAAGCCAGATTCAGCAGCCACCATCCAGCTCTACACGATGAAGATAAATTCAGTTATTCAGCCCTCAGGTTCTAACTTCAAAAGATACTTGATACCATAAAATATCTTTGGCGCCATCTACTGGTGAATGATTTTCAGGGGGCCTCCCTGAGGGCAGAAAGCATTCTAAGGAGCAGAAACTGATTTCAATAACAGAGCTGAGGCCTCAGTGGGAGAAGCCGTCCTGCTATCCATGTCAGCACTGAATGAACACACATAAAATCCAGAGGGCTTTAGATATGCATACCTATGTTAGCTACTTACTGAGAGCATGCCCTGGGTTGCTATGACACCGTCATAAAATTTTTAATTTAAAAAAAAAAAACATGTGCATGAGGTCTTTGCAGACATGTGCTCCCAGTCACACAAGTATATGACCAGAGGTCGGGTCTGTTTCTCTGAGATGCCCACCTTATTCTTTGAGACACAGTGTCATGCTTACCGTGGCTGAAGAGTGGGCCTCTGGGATCCTGCTGACTCCAGTCTGTGTTTACACCTATCACCATGCCCAGCCTGCTCATGGGTGCTGTGGACCCAAATTCAGGTTCTCATGCCTGAGCCGCAAACACTGTCCAGTCTGAGCCGTCTCCCCTGTTGGGAGCAGTGAGACCCCAGGTCCTGAATTTCTTGTAATCCCCTGATCTGAGTGCCTACAGCTGCTCTGAGCACGAGCCCTTCAGGAGTTCCTGACCTCAGCAGTGCCTCCTGCTGTGGTGCCTGTTCCACCTGGAACCACGACCAGCAAGAGTCTGAAAAACAAAACAAAACACAGAAGGAGCTAACAGACCTTTTAACACCGCTACCAAAACCCCAAGAATGCCCTCTTTATTGTGTTCAGGGACAGATTATATAGAGATAGCCACGCCCCAGCCAAACCCACCAGAAACCACTCTCCTGCCATCAGGAACTCCTGAAGGTCTCGTGCTCAGAGCAGCTGTAGGCACTCAGATCAGGGGATTACAAGAAATTCAGGATCTGGGGTCTCACTGCTCCCAACACTCCCCAGTCCCCATAGTGGCCATTTTCAGTGGTTGAAATAGTCTCCTGCATGACTATCCTAGCTCATTTACTCGGCCTTTTCCCCATCACTTTGTACAACAAACAACACTGTCCTAAATGCTCTGCTATACATGTTTCAGAGTTTCCCATCCATCGATTTCCAAAAACAGAACAGTAAGGTCGAAGGACAAAAATATCTTATACTCTAGATTTATATATCTAGAGGAAACCGGTTTTTTTTAATTGTTTTTATTCAGCTATATATTTTTCTCCACTCCCCTCCTTTTCTTCCCTCCCCTTCTGCCCTTTCCCATGGTCCCCATGCTCCCAATTTACTCAGGAGAGCTTGTCTTCATCTACTTCCCATGTAGATTAGATCCATGTGTGTCTCTCTTAGAGTCCTCATTGTTGTCAGTGCAGTCAGTGCTCTTAACCACTGAACCAGATATAATTTTAGTTTTTTATTGTTTTTATTTTGTTTTGGTTTTTGTTTTGGGGGTTATTTGTTTGTCAGGTTGTTTGGTTGGTTTAGTTTAGCTTTTGTTTTTAACACAGGGTTTCTCTGTGTAGCCCTGGCTGTCCTGGGACTTGCTCTAATCCACGCTGAACTCAAACTCAGAAATCTGCCTGCCTCTGCCTCCTGAGTGCTGGGGGAAAGGTGCACACCACCACCACCTGGCAGAGATATGATTTCTTTAAGAGTTAAGAAAAGCTGCTTTTCTCGAACTGTGCCAAGTCTTTACTTGCGGGTTGAGGGCTCGAGGCCACAAGCTGATTGGGTCCACTCTGTTGCAGGCACAGCCTCTGTAGCCGTGGCGGGGATCCTGGCTGCTCTGAGAATCACCAAGAACAGGCTTTCCAACCACGTGTTTGTTTTCCAGGGTGCAGGGGAGGTAAGTACCGCCAGGAGGACTCCAGTGGCTGTCCTGAGAAGAGGAATGGGTGCGGGAGTGTTCCTGGCGGGAGGTGGTCTGGGTTCCAGCCAGAGGAAGCAGCAGGAGTGTGTTCTGATCGTTGCAGAGTTTTGAGTCTCAATATTTGAGTTTCTCAAAGGAAACATTCACCTGGGCTTCCTAGGATTTGTGGGGCTGAGGAAAAGAAGGGCTCATTTGGGTGAAACATCTGGTATATGCTGAATAACTATGTGCTTTGAGTTTAAATATCGTCCTCATGGTATTCCCTAGGCAGCCATGGGCATCGCCCACCTCCTGGTTATGGCCCTGGAAAAGGAAGGCGTGCCCAAGGCAGAAGCCATAAGGAAGATCTGGATGGTGGACTCCAGGGGTCTGATTGTCAAGGTACTGTTCAAGTCTGAAAACCTAGAGGTTTTGCTGGGTGGTGGTGGCGTTCGCCTTGAATCCCAGCACTCAGGAGGCAGAGGTAGGCGGATCTCTGTGAGTTCAAGGCCAGCCTGGTCTACGAGAGTGAGTTCCAAAGCTACAGAGAAATCCTGTCTCAAAGAAACAAAACAAAACAAAACAAAAAAACCTAGAGATTTCCTGGTACGTGGAACTGCCAAGAACTAAACCTAAAGAGTCCTCTAGCCAGGAACTGCAGTGCACGCTTTTAATCCCAGCACTGGGGAAGCAGAAATAGGTGAATATGTGAGTTTGTGTCATCCTGGTCTACCAAGTTTCAGGACAGTTGGAGCTACACAGAGAAACCCTGTCTCAGAAAAAGAAGAGGAGGAGGAGGAAGGGAGGGAGGAAAAGAGGGAGGGTAGGACAGAAAGAAAAAAAGGAAGGGAGGAAGGGAGGAAGGAAGGAAGGAAGGAAGGAAGGAAGGAAGGAAGGAAGGAAGGAAGGAAGGAAGGAAGAGGAGGGAGGGAGGGAGGGAGGGAGGGAGGGAGGGAGGGAGGGAGGGAGGGAGGGAGGGAGGGCTCTCCAAGGGGCAGAATTCTAAGACAGGATGGAAAAGCAAAAAGGAAATTCTAAAGCAAAAGCTCAGATTGCTGTTATCCAAAAAGTTATGATGGTGTGTGTCTGTGTGTCTGTGTGTCTGTGTGTCTGTGTGTGTGTGTGTGTATGTGGGGGGGAGATTGTTACGAATAGTGCGCGCATGTATGTGTGCCTGAATACCCTTCCAGCCTTCTCTCCTACCACCTCCTACCCTCAGTTTACCTCAGTCATATTGAATCATAGTCCTCCAGAAGACACGGCTCACTCTCTTCCACAACCTTTCACAGCCGTTGACCGGGCTGTGGACCTGGTGTGCATCTTCCCATCCCCCCATCAATCCAGGGAACAGTCGCTGAGCAGGTTACCAGACACTGGCCACTCTTCTGTTTACTTGTGCTTTGGTCCACGCTATTGACCTGACTTCTAGTCGAGGAACTGTAGGCTTGGCATCTTCCCTCTGGCACTCCTGAGGCCAGCTGGAGCCGTCAAAATGATTGCACCCATTTACCAACACTGTGCCAGCCTGTCATTCCGGACTGTTCGAAGAGATGGAAAGAAATCTGGAGCTTCTCAGGCACAGTTGGCAACACCAGCCGATCCTAGACTCAGCTCAGGGATGCTCCCAGGAAGACTAATGGATCCTGTTAAATCCATTCACATTAGCTCTCTGGTACTGAAAGTCTTCAGGCCTTTCTGCAAACCTGTAGGCTGCACTTCATATGACCAGCAGGTTCAGTGAGGCTAAGGAATCTCCTGAGAGTCTTTCTATCCTGTCTCTGTAACCCATGACCCCCCAATAGCTAAAAACAAAATAAAAAATAAAGATTTTTGATCATTTTTTATTCTAAATATTTAAATATTTTATTTTTAACAATTTATTATAAATAAATAAATACTTATGTATTCTTCCGTGTGGCTCGGAAGATGGGTCAGAGTTTAAGAAGACTTGTTTGCTTTTTTGGGGGACCTAGATTTGATTTGATTCCCAGCACACACATGGTGGCTAACAACTGTTTGTACCTTCAGTTACAAGGGACCTGGTGCCCTCCTTAGCCTCCAGAGACCCTGCATGCATGTGAAGCACAAATACCCACACAATTAAAATAAAAATACATTTTTAAGAAAAAAAGGAAGGAAGAAGGAAGGAAGGAAGAAACACATGTATACATTCCCTTAGATTCTACTAAGAAATCTGATAAAGGGTCTGGGCCTCACTATTCTGAAGGCTCAGATCAAAACACAAGGCTCAGTCAGAAACACTGTCAGAATTCTAACACATCAAGGCTCTGCTCGGAAGGCCCTCAACGCCACTACTACTCCATCTTCCTTCTTTTCCTACAGGGTAGGAGCCACCTGAACCATGAGAAGGAGATGTTTGCCCAAGACCATCCTGAAGTCAACTCCCTGGAGGAGGTAGTGAGGCTGGTGAAGCCCACAGCAATTATAGGTAGGAAGAAGAAGAGGTCCTGCCGCCCAACCCAGCTAACCCTCTCAACTTGCAGATAGTCTGAGACCCAGTGAAGAGTCACCAACCACCTACAGAAGCACAGCTGTCTCCCCATCCCATGCCTGGTTCAATGCCATGAACTTATTGGGTAACTTCTGTATAGAAACCATAGAAATGAGGGCCCGGAGTTGGGACCTGGTGACATAGGTGTTGATGTAAGACAGTGAAAATGCGCAGTACCACTCTCTAGCGTGGAGATGAGCAATCCTTCCACACCCAGACTGGGGCCCTGGTACCTGTCCCTGTGGCACCTGTCCCTGTGTCTGCGCTCGACAACAACATCCGGGAATGGCTTCCAGGTGCACCTTCAAGATCGGAGGCCAGAAATGGACCAGTGGTCTCCCAGAAATGAACAAGAGGCCTTAGCTAGCTCAAGCCACAAGTCCCTCATCCCCAACAGCAGATTCTATCCCCAGGATTCCCAAGTCTGCCATGGGGTACCTAGTTCCCTCACCTCAGGGGAAATGGGGTGTTCATACAGAGTAGGCATTCCCCGCTGCCCCCCTTTTCCCTGTAGGTGTTGCTGCTGTCGCAGGAGCCTTCACGGAGCAGATTCTGAGGGACATGGCCTCCTTCCATGAGCGCCCTATCATCTTTGCCCTGAGCAACCCCACCAGCAAGGCTGAGTGCACAGCTGAGAAGTGCTACCGGGTCACTGAGGTCAGCAGGGAGTCCTTCCTCCCACCAGCTGAGAGAGTAGCAGCGGCCCTGAGGGTGACAGAGGGTGCCCCGTCATCTGAGGTTTAGAAAGATGAGCTTTCCCAAGATCATCGAGCTAATAAATAGAGCTAGCCTTCAAGTCCCCATCCATCTAGCTCCAAAGCCGGAGCTCTTCCATGCTACTGGACTGCTCAGAGCCCCAAACAGAGCTTTGTCCGGCAGAGTTTCTTTATTCCTGAGGCACCTGTCTCGTGCTGGCTCTCCCAGATGCTGGGGGAAGAGGCACCATGGCCTCCTTTGTCAGTAACTTGGAGGGAGGCAAGGCTTAGCCTTCTGTTCAAATAAATGAACCATTCTTAGAGTATTTATCAGGTTCTCACTATTCTGGACACAGAGGGGAAGGTGTGGGTCCAACATTTAAGAGATAAGAATAGACTGCCACAGCTGCCCCAAACCTGTCTCCAAGTTCCACTTCTGCTTTTTTCCTATGTCCAGGGCCGAGGGATCTTTGCCAGTGGAAGTCCCTTTAAGAATGTGACTCTGGAAGATGGCAGGACCTTCATTCCCGGTCAGGGAAACAATGCCTATGTGTTTCCTGGGGTCGCCCTGGGCGTCATTGCCGGTGGGATCCGACACATCCCAGATGAAATCTTCCTCCTGACGGCAGAGGTACCGCTGCTTTTCTCCCTAGGATGCTTCTAGTAGGGTTGGTGGCTCAACACCGGGTCCTCAGGCCCAGTGACCCCTGGATTCGTCCTCTCGTATCTACTACCCACTCATCCCAGACCAGAAGCAAGGCTGGAAAGGAAAGATCATGGAACCTTGAAGCAAGAATTTTTTTTATTTTTTTGCTAAGATGGCCACCCAGAATGGTACTAAGGATGTGGAAGGAGGGTGGGACCCAAGAAGTAAGTAAGGGGGCCCAGAGACTCCTATATAACAGGCTGTGATCAGTCAGAAGACAGAGTCTTTGTTTGCTGGTCATAAGCTTATCCATGTTGGTCTTAGTGGTTTCCTTCTAGAATTCATGGAACCTCGTGCTATTTTAAACTTCAGTCAGACTTAGGACAGAAAGAATGAGTCTTTGTTTAAACCTAAGCATTAAGCTTCCTTAGGGCCATGGCATAGGTCGCAGTACCTGGGCAAGCTTTGGGATAATGGAATGGGATTTGTTCTATAAAGAAAATCTCTCTCTCTCGCTCTCTCTCTCTCTCTCTCTCTCTCTCTCTCTCTCTCTCTCTCTCTCTCCTCTCTAGCATATTGCCCAAGAAGTCTCTGAGCAGCACCTGTCCCAGGGAAGACTGTACCCACCACTCAGCACCATCCGAGATGTGTCTCTGAGAATTGCAGTCAAAGTAAGGGGCATTCTCCCTCATACCCCTCTAACATGGGTGGTGTGGCTCCACCTACTCTATGACGTCAGGAGGGCTAGGCAGCTGTGGAAACCTGTGCTCCTTGAGCCTCACTGCATGTAACCCACAGACTAGGTGGCAAACTCTTGCCTGCTCAACAGACTGAGTCCCACTCCAAACACCCACCCAGGCATTCTAGAAAAGCTCCCGCATTTCTCCCACAGACATAGGAAGGAAGGTCGTCAGAGGCCACGGTCTTGGGAACCAGAATGTGGGTGGAATTTTTTTTAATGAATCATAACCCCTCATTTATGGGAAAGGCCAGCTTGCACAGCATCATAGAAAGGATTCAAGTTTGGAGTTCCCACTCTGGCAATCAGCAGAGGCGTCACTTCCCTCAACCTTAGCTGCTTCTCTGTAGAGCCCAGTAGTTCCTCCCTTCCAAAACTCCTGTTGGCCAGAGTGGGTAGTTAGTTTCCCCACTCTGGGGATAATTTAAGGGATAATGAGGTGACTGGATTCACAGAACATTCCAGACTATGCAAGGATAATGGGTTTTCAGAGAAAACATAATACAGTAAAGACCAATTTTAAGCAATAATTATCCAAGCTGGATAATACGTACATGATATCCTTTCCATTAGTGTGTGTTTTTCTGTAAGAATAACCAACAGTCTCAGAAAGTACAGCGCACAGCAATATGTTAGTGCCCACGAGTTGTCCAGTGCAGGCGCCCTTACAAAACAATTATGAAGTCCAACAATCCAGATCCCGGTTCAGCTCACCCGTTCCTCTTCCTTCACGGGGGACTATTGGCTCACAAGATGATCATCCAATTCAACCCCATCAGTCTCCATGGGAACAGGTTGCAGGCAGACTGTTACTAACTATATTCTCATCATCATTCTAGAAGAAGGTGATCATTATTTTGCTTCCCAAGCAGTAAGCTGAAGTACTAATCAAGTTTACCATTGGCTGGAAACCCGCAGAGAATTAGAAACAGGGATAATCATGGGCTGGGCCTCTTTGACCTTGGCCTAGGCACTGGGTAGGAATCCATCTCCAGAGCTCTGGGAGAGAGGGACCACCAGCCCCTTAGGAAGAGAAGCAAATGCTCTCTAGGAAAAAGTTTTAATCCTCCCCTTCTGGTGGTGTCATGGGTGGCAGCTGAAGAGGAACATGACCGGTCCTTTAGGGAATATTCTTTGCCCCTCTCTGCCAAGGAAGGGGCTTTTAAGGCCGATTTCCCATAGATCTAGTTTCTCATTCAAACCTGTTTCTCCTAGGTCCTCGACTATGCGTATAAACACAACCTGGCCTCCTGCTATCCAGAGCCCAAGGACAAGGAGGCTTTTGTAAGATCTCTGATCTACACTCCAGACTATGACTCCTTCACACTAGACACCTACACTTGGCCTAAGGAAGCTATGAATGTCCAGAAGGTGTGATGCACTCTCTGGGACTTATTTGGGCTGGACGAAGAAATACAATATAAACGTTCCAAAATGGCCAGCCTTGTCACCATGGTTATTTTTTGTTTGTCATTTGTTTTACTTTGTGTGTTCTGCGGAGGTGCTGAGGCATGCAGCGGATGTCAGCTTTGCTCCTGAAGGCCCTGGGAGCTCTCTTTCCTATAAAACTTCTCTGAATCCTCTCCAAATGGTTCTTTTACTGTTAATTGCTATTATCAAAGCCTTGTGGGAAATTCTGCTTAGAAACGCACCTTTGTAGAGCTCAAGGTCTAGATTGAACTCAAGTCCTTTTCCATACGCGAGGAAGTGCTGTGTCCGTGGAAGAGGTCCATAGGGAAGTCACGGAGCTCCAGGAAGAAAGGATGCTTCCCATGAGACACCAAAGGAGAGCAGTGTCTGTGCTCTGCCCATGACTAAAGGGCGGATTCGTCATAGGCACTCAGGGAATGTAAGCAAAGCCACCTGCCAGAAAATGTGGTCCACCTGTCAGGGAGTGAATTCATTTCAGAAGAATACATTGCCCTCAAGGCTCAGTAGAATGTGGGTGGGGGCTGAGTAGCAGCGAGAGGCTCATCAAGAAGGGTCCCTGCCCTTTGGGTTGTTGCGTACTGTACATTTTATGTTGTCATTACTAAAGGGAAAGATAGACAAATATGGATGAGAAGAATCTGCATGCCAAAGAACGAGGAGAAAGAGAAGCAAAGAGCGTGAGCACCACGGGGAAGGCATTGATTTGATTTGTAAGAAAGACTTGATTTAACTAATGTTCCAGGCCTGGGATATACTCTCCCTTCCATCCTCCACCCTCAAGTAATGGAGCAATTCAAATTTCTGGTGGAGGTGACATTTAGTGAAAACCTTTACCTCCCCTGTTTTCATGATGGCACACATGCATAGCAAACAGTAAAGAAAGACTTGGAGCCCCTGCTTGGCCTGTTTGGGATATCCAGTCTCCTTTCCCTGTATAAATCACGCTTTGAGAAACTTACCCCTGGTGCCACCTCAGCCAGGATTCCCGCTGCAGATAATGCTCTATTTGACTGTCCCTTGGTGCAATCCAGGTAAACACTTAAGTTCCACGAAGAGTATCTGGCAGAGTCATAAATCAGTCATCTCTTGTTCAGGTCTTATTCTTCCAGCATCGGCTTCCTTGGTGCTAGAACTTAGTCAACAACGTCCCCAGAGTATAGACCTAAATATAAAAACTAACACTCTATGTTTCTAGAACAGACCAGTGAGTCCTTGTGAAGACTCACCAGTAAATCTCTAATGGCAATCTCATATCTAATGCCTGTGTCCTGGGGGATACAGTTGCAAACGACAGAAGAAACTGGCTAAGATTTCCAAAGTTCTGATCTATTGCACCAGCCCCACACGGCCACCAATGGCCTGGTTAGACGTCTCATTTCCACAGGAGAAACCATCTGCCTGGACCCAAACTCCTCCTTTCTATTCCATGCCCAGAATCAGTAAGGGCACCCATAGAAGAAAATGGCTTCTTCCATCTGAAAGGCTCGCTCCATGGAACACCTCTACAGTGGGTTCATATTCCTCTCCTAGCTCTCATAGCTCTCCTAATGTACGACTTTTGGAATGTCTTCATATGCCCTTAATTGTTGCAGGTCATGTCTTGGGGTTCCATCATCTACCACATCCCATTTAGAGAAGTAGAAGACTCTAAACATAGATTTTCAAAATTCCAAATGTGTTCCTAATAGCACTGAATTACGGTCAGAGAACCTGCTATGACTTGCTGAAATAGATTTCAGTTTGCTGGGAAATCTATTTTTTTCAAATGCTATTGCCAAATTTTAAAAACAAAAAAAGTTCACATCTTCTTAAAAAGAATATGTGCACCAACATGGTAGGATGCAATATCCTTTGTTTGGGGATTTTTATTTTATTTTACTCAATTCTACGTATTATTATTTTTTTCTCTACTCAGCCTGTATCTGAAAGATAATTTTTTCCTTGCAGTTTTGACCGTATTTATTTTACATATTTTGATCCAGTGTTATCAGGTACATGAAGTTTAGAATTGTGATCATTTACAGTGAACTCAAATCTGTGAAACTTTGTAATTTTCTTAATAATGTATTTGTTCTGTGATAACACCTTGGAAGTCTCCCTTGCCCTTTTTTATTTATTTAGATGTTGAAACTAGTATCGTACCTGGTGATGACAAGTGCTCTCTAGTTATTTCTGCCACACAACTTAAAGCACTCTTACCTAGAGCAAAAATGTGGTTAGTTTAACATTAAAACATAGGATCATTTTATCAATTTTATAATAAAATAATTATCAGGAACCCTAATTTTAACTCACATAATTTTAAAAGCAAAAAGATGTGCCAGGTGGTGGTACAATGCACCTTTAATCCCAACCAGGGAGGCAGAAGCAGGCAGATATCTGTGAGTTCGAGGCCAGCCTGGTCTACAAATCAAGTTTACAGTCAAGGATACAGAGAAACAATGTCTCGAAGAAAAAACATAAACTATTAAATGTCCCATTGATTAGTAGAAACTAATCCCATTTTGGTTGGGAAAACAGAGGGAAAATATACTTTAACCAAAGTAATAGGTAGTAAGCAACTGCTAATGTTTGGCAAAAAAAAAAAAAAAAATAGGAGTTTCAGAAATTCGATAATAGCACTGTTTTAGCCACAAAGGCAACACATCTCTGCTTTTTATAAAATACCAGGGGTTAGAGATGGCTCAGTAGGTAATGTGTCTCCATGCAAGCTTGAGGACCTGAGTTCAATCCCTAGAGCCTATTAACAAAAAACAAAACAAAACAAAACAAAAAAGCTGAGTGGTGGGATGTACTTGTAATCCCAGGTGTGGGGAAACAGAGATGCGATCCCCAGCCCAGCTCAGTTGGCAAGCACCAGGTAAAGGTTGAGAGACCCTATTTCAAAACACTGATGAGGAGAGCGACTCAGGAAGCCACTTGCCATCTGAGGTTAACCTCTGGCACGCACACACACACACTCACATGCACACTTATAAAACGCTTACTAAATTACAAGCCCTGTGTCCTACACAATATTCTACTTCATAGTCTCTCCCATCCTGACTTCACTCCTCCTCCGACTGGTATGCCAAACACAAACATATATGACAAGGCATTAAACACACGCTGCTTCTGTACAAACGGCTCTTGTCTGAGCCTCTACCGAAGCCGGCTTTCCCAAGCAGAGGTTTCAAAACAGCATAAAATGAGATTTACGGAAATGCATTCATCACTGTGAAACTTAAAATCTCACAGAAGCAACTGCCGCAGACTTGATGTCTACCAGCGCAGATGCGGGGAGGTGAACACTGAAGAGCAAGCAAAGAGCAGCTCTATCCTGACAAGGTCTGAAATGGCTGGATAAACAACATAAGCTCTGGAATTGTTGAATTAGGAGCGGCAAGGCTGCGTCCCAGGCACCCGGCCGCCCGCATGGCTAGCTTATGCTCCGAAATAATTACACGGAAACTGTATTCTTTCAAACACTGCCTGGCCCGGCTAGTTCCAGCTTCTTATTGGCTAGCTCTTACATATTGTTCTAACCCATTTCTAATATTCTATGTAGCCCATGAGCTGGCTTACCAGGGAGGATCTTAACCTGCGTCTGTCTGGAGCGGGAGAATCATGGCGACTCTCTCACTAAGCTTCTTTTTCCCAGCATTCTCTTCTGTCTACTCCGCCTACCTAATTTTCTGTCCTATGAGGGCCGAGGCAGTTTCTTTATTATTACAAGACCCACCTCCATCATGGAATGATGTTTAGAGTGCTTTAGAATTTTAATTCTGTATTACTAAACATAGACAAGACCTGGGTTGTGTCTTGGCAGCCCCATGCTGGCCTTGAACTCACTCTGTAGCCAAGGATAGCTTTGAAACCTTCATTCAATAGTGATAGATGCATCTAATCAAAAAACATTATATAAACGCATAAAATTTTCAAAGAATAAATTAAAACGTATTTTAAAAGTTTAGACTTGGGGAGGGGATATATGTACCATTATAAATTGTCATTCATACTCAGCACTTTGAAATATTTGTTAAAATGTATTTATTACAGGTGGGAAAATAGAACGTTTCGAAAGGAAGTCACAGAGCTGGGTCAGCACCCCTCAGCATCCAGCAAGAATTTGGGTCCCTCCCAGTCCCAGTCCCTAGAGCAAAAGGACTCTAGGTTAAGAATTATTTAGACACCAGCACCGCTATTGGAGCCAAGTTCAGGGAATACGCAGGGATGAGAGGAAGGCGGAACACTAAGGAAATAATAGACATGAATTCAAGAAAGGGTTTGAAAACACTCAAGTTTTTTCCTCCGAGGTACAAATATACACACTCTAAATATTCATCCACTCCAAACAAACGTTCCTGAGTACGTAGGTTCAAACTTTGAGCTCTACACGAGCAATCGTGACCCCTGCAGAAACTTATTCTGGGGCCACACGTTGCTCTCGCCCACGTTGGAGGTGCGCCTCTGGCACTGCCTGCAGCGCCGGTACTTCTCACACTGGTCCAAGAGGAACAGCTTGTCAGAAGCCCTGGGGACAAGAAAGCAAAAGCTGATGTCATCAAGTGTCCCGCAAATCCCCAGAAGCAAAGCGAAGTGATGCCCGATCTCTTCTTTCAAGACTCCTACCGTTACCTGCTGCCTAGCCCACATCCTGGCATCTGCGGCCTTCTCCTTTTCACTAAAGCAAAGGCTTTGTGCAAATTCCCAACCTTTCTTCATGCCTAGCCACGCGTGCCTAACAGCAAACACATAAAGCCCAAGGCCACGCCCACCCTCCAAGGTGGCCCTGAAGCTTTGGTGTTTGGTGCTATCTACATGTCTCTCACTCTCTGGAAACCTTGTTTGAGAAGGGGAGGAAGCTGCTGGCTGACAGGTAATTCCTAACACCTGCTGAGAGCTAAGGGTTTACTTGCTTAGAAAAGTCCCAAGAGGACAGAGCTTTTGGAGAGTTCAGCACCAAGGAAGAAAGAAGAGACAAAGAAGGGGAAAAAACAAACAGGAAGAAGAAATAAAGGACTACGATGACTGATTCTCCATTTTGAAAGTTCTTGGTTCTGCAAGTCAGTCCCAAGTGTGCTCTTGTGACCCATCAACATTTCTGTAGGAACACAGAATTCTGTAAAAGTCATAAGACTGGGTCAGTGCTGCCCCCCTCTTCCCCCACCCC